ACTTTGATGTTCCTTCTCCTCTGTGAAGCCTGAAATCAACAAAAGGGCTATTGATAACTCTCAAAACGCTTACCATTTGATACAAATAAATGCTTGAAATTGAATGCTATTTTTAAATCTAATGTTACTTTACTTAGAGTACACTTTTTTCAATTTCCTCAATGGTTGATAAAACCGTTTAGTCATATATGCTTATGACACAAATTGCAGACCCTTTGAATCCAAAGTAAAGCGAAACTAGGATAAGCGAGCGATCACTCCGACTAGCGAGAAAGCTTCTCCGTTCAAAGGATTGAACTACTACTTCTGAATAATCAGACAGACCAGTATTAATGAAGCCCACCAGCTCAAGGCTCTGTATAGAACTAACCTCCTATTGATTGCCTTCCTGTCATACGTGCTAATGACATGCGTTCCAAGTCTTCCTTATGTCCCCTTCCCACACTTGTTCTCCCAAATTCATAATTCCTTCCATCTACACTCATCTTGCGTTTTAATCAAAATAAAAGTATTTTGTCCAATAAGAAAACATTTTGTTATTTTTTGCATACTCTACTTGGAGGACCCTATTCGATTTGAATACGCGTTTCATTAATGACTTTTCATAAGATTTTCACTCGAAAAGTCAGTTATCGAAATGTATAGTATGTAGGTAACTAAGCACATATAAAAAAAGCAAGAGGGCCTATGTGTCAGGTGAGAAATTTACCCCAATATCACCCCATACTTGCATTTTCACCTTCTCACTTGGGGCTTTTTAAGAGATTAAGTAAAGAGTAAGAAGATTTAATCTATTTTTTAGTACTGAAAGTAATAGAAAATTAAGTTAAACAATTGACAAGGCATTTCATTCCAAGCCCACTTACCGTTGGCAAAGTTCTATTAATTTGACAGCACCTATTGGCATTATGTAGAGGGAGCAAGCAGAAGAAACACATCTACTTGAAATGGATTACCATTCGGGCTATTGACACATTATACATTTAATCGATAAAGTAATTAATTAAATTCAACGATAAACTAGCCCATTGTTAGATATCACATTACTGTCAACAAAGCTTAAAGGTGCATCCATAATTAGTCAGGAAATATATCTCTTTAGAACCAACGCTTCTTCTCGGTTTACTTGGAAGTGATTTCTCTTTATTAAATATGTCAATATAAATGTCATAGCCAATGTCAACATCTCCAGTATGGGTGTGTGATAGACTTACCTTCACGTGGTGCACCCTGGGCAACGTATACTCATACGGCAAAAAAGTCTATTAACCGGCAGTTGACTTCAAACTACCATGACCCCACTGTATGTCATATTCGACTACTTTCACAGTACTCATCCCACCTTTTTTCCACCTTATCTACCTTCGTCTTTGATACACTCTTCTGTTTCCCCCCCCCTCTTGAATTTTTTACACTTTGATGTTACTTCCCCTCTGTGAAGACTGAAGTCAACTAAAGGGCTAATGATAGCAATCAAAACGCCTGCCATTTGATATAAAATACATCTCCAGTATATCGATCAATAGAGTGGGAAATATTATAGTTAGCCCTTAACCTTCTTTTATTGCTTGCACCAACTGTAGACCTGCTATATGGGCAAAATCAGCTTCTTTGACATGATATTCCAACTCATCACCACTACTGCCAATTTGTTATCGACAAGTGCTCATTGAGTTGAAACGATGCCTACAATTTTTCCAGACCCCAGTAATGTCGGTTGGATCACATTTGAGAAAATAGGAAAGCTTAAAAATGATTAGGACGTAAAAGCGTTGATGCCCGGTCATTCAGTAATGTTAAGTTTGCACAATCAGAAAAGAAAGGAGTAACTCAATTATCGAACATTCAATTCTCGAAAAACCCATTCTATTCATAAAATTCATCGAAATCTACTCAAATTTTACAGAGAAAATAATTTCGCCAACTTTGTTTTCTTCAACTCCTTGAGAAGTCAAACGAGCGATACGAGAACGTTTATTATCTTAAAATCACAATAGGTCAAATGCATGAACGATCTTGAAACACGGCAAAAATGTATCTTCCTTCCTAGTACGACTGCTTTAAGAAGCCATGACAAATTAAATTTAATATTCCACCATAGAACCAATACTTTTCCCGCCACCAACGCGTTCATCGAACCTTTAACGTATGAGAAGATCAAGATTTGAATTGGAGAAAAAGCACATTCAACAGACGCAACTGAATGAGATTGAAAAGGAGGATTGGGAGGAAAGGAGAGGTCAGTAGTGCGTGATGACAAACTGGATCGTAATGAACGGTCAAAATGAGAATTATTACTAGGTCGTTGACCGATTTCGCGTTCGTTGTGCATTGGTGAGGCATTGTCGATAGGCTCGTAGTTCCTTCAGCCTCGTAGGAAAAAAATCTAAAAGAATGCCCTAAATATTTTAGATCTTTATCATTATCAACTCAGTTCATCTGCTGTTGTGAAAAGCGAAGCCTGACAAATAGCCTGTGGAATATCAGACAGCGTAATTGTTTTCATTTGAGTATTTTGTTTGATTAAAACTCATTCTGTTTACCCTTCTTCCTGTTTTCATATTTGGAAAATTGCGAATGCACTTGGCCATTCCTATTGCTAAAAGTTCATTTTGAGTCACAATAAACGTTTTGAAATGGCTCATTCAATCAACATTAATTGGCAAAAGCTGTCATACATCTTGGCTTAGCAACTAACCGACAAGTATGTGTGGACTAACCTTAAGTTCCCTATTTATATCCCTGTGTTTACTTGGTTAATGTATTCACTTCAATATTCATATCTCGTTTGAGTGGGGTGGGGGCGGGGTGTGGTGAGGTCAGGTCAGGTCAGAGAAATATATATATATATATATAGTCATTTAACCCTTTAACGCCATTAGGACCATACGGACCTGTTTCAAAATCCGCTCCATTTATATTAACTTCTTAACAGAAGGCGCTACTATTGCCTTTGGAAACATGTTCAATACGTGCCTATAGCCTTTGCCTGATTCACCACCAATACTCATCACGTAGGGCGACATCTGGCTACTGTGAGACACGCGTGAGTGCGGTTGGGTGTAATTTTCAATAAATAATTCTAGTATTATAGGGCCTCATTAACTCTGTATCAAAACGATTAACATAGCTAGCAAATACGATTCCATAGGTTGCTCAACAGGCGAACAGAATAGTCAACCGTGTCTATTAGAACATATTATGATGCCGACTTTGGTAAAAGAGTCTCCGGGTCGCTATTCATCTCCCCAAAGCTAGTCCTAAGCTTGAGTTGTCCAGCTATGAAAAGTAAGATAAAAGCCTTCTTGCCTATACCTCAATAATGTCTCTTTCACAATTTGCTGCAAAAAAGCGATAATATGTAGGAATTCTAATTTTGAAAATAAAAAACGTATTTTCTTTAAGCTTGTTATTCACCTAACTGTCATATATGTTCACGTAGTCTGGTGTATACAATCAAGATGTTAAATTTGGTTACATGAGGGTGAGTGAAGTTTTCATTCATAAACACTAGTCCATTTTTAACATTCATTGTCGTAAGATAGGTATACTTCATGATTCCATCTCCACTCGAATTGCTTTAATTGAATCGCACGCAGATGTATTAAACGCGCAGGTGTCGAAATATTGATTTATTTAATAATATCAAATGGCAGGCTTTAGGATAATTATCATTAGCCATTTAGAAGACTTTGGGCTACACAGAGGGGAGGAACATCAAAGTCACAAAATTTGAGGAGGGTGGAACAGAAGAGTGATTCACAGATGTAAAGAGACAGATATAAAGGTGGGATCATGGTAATTTGGAGTCAACTGCCGGTTTATAGACTTTTTTGCAATTTGAGTAAACTTTTCCCAGGGTGCACCACGTGAAGGTAAGTCTATCGGGCACCCAGGTCGTCAAAATATGAGACATACGAAAAGTGCAAATGTATTTAGTTACACCCTCATTGTTAGTTCAAAATTCTGACATCCAATACTAG